TGCTCCGGCCGGCGCGCAGCATCTTTACCTTCTCGATGTCCACCAGCTCGGCCTCGTAGATCTCGGCGATGGTGATGTGGTGCTTGGCGGCGATGGTGAATCGTCCCTAGGGAAGGGCAGAGACCGTACGTGAGACGGGGGCTCCCCCCCGGCACACGCGGCGTTTCCCGAGCTGCGTCGCTCCGCCGGCTGCCGGCGCAGCTCCTTACCATGTCGGTGTAGATATCGATAGCTGCGTTTAAGCAGTTGATGGCCTCTGCAGCGTGAGCGTTCAGGAAAAACAACAGTCAGCCAGCACGTCACAATTCCCAGCCCAAAACCCATCCCTCTCCCTCCAAAAATCAGATCCCAGTAACATTTCTCTTCATCAGCCCAAAAACCAGCTTCTTCGGTAAATCTGCTCGCGCGTACGTACGTCTGGAAGGACAGACGCGGCGTTTTCAGCCCCGAAGACCCACAGGCGTGACGTCCCTCGCGCTGCTGGGATCTAATCCCAATCCACCCAGCCCCAACACCCCCATCCCAACAGCCTGCTGCTAGGGAAAAATTCCGATGCTGAAAGGGAAGAGTCAAAAATTAAGATGGGCAAAACACGAGCGCGTTGGACCCCGGGTCTGTCAGGCTACATCCTCCAATGGAGCGACATTCAAACTCCTGACCTCGTAATCACGCGGAGGCTGCCGTTTTCCAACGGCACGGGAAAGCTCGGATAACGCTGGGGGATTAGTGGTTGGCTTCCAAACCCCCAGCTAGGATAAGGGCAAGCAGAGATCTTCCAGAAAACAGCACCCCTGTTCCTGACAACCAGGTTTAAAGAATCCGGATCCTTCATTCTCATCCCATCAAAGGTCGTTCCGTTTTCCTCCCGCCTCTCCTCTGCCCCGGGGAAACCCCTGGGAAGGGAGATGGGGCTAAGGGCAGGGCTCCCACTGCGATCCAGACCTCTGACCTGCCTTAAGCATTCCCCAAGAAGCGAGGCTTGTCTCCAGAGTCAAGCTAAAGCAGGAAGGAAGCTGCCAAGGGGCAGCGCTTGACACCCAACGTGCTGCAGCGACCAGAGCTCGGCTTCGGCACAGCCAGAGTCAGCCGGAGGTGACACCCCCGGGCACGCCGGTCTGCATGGCGGACCAAGATGAGCCAACTAGCTCCAGGCATCACCCGAAGGACAGAGAAGTGGGAAGTGCAGGAGGTGTTACGGCTTTCGAGTAGCCTGCAGAGAGGATCTGCAGCCCCACGGAGCCAGGGACTACCGACAGCCTCGGTGCGCCACCTCCTCCGCCACTAAGCCGCTTTGTGAGACGCAATCCCGGATTTCGCTCCCCTTACCTTGCGGATCCGCTTTCTTATAGGCGTTCCCGGCGTCCACGAAGCTGGTGGCCGAGTCGTGTTTGCTCTGCAGCTGCATGTGCAGCTTGGCCGCCTGACAAAACGCGTTCCCCGCGGCTGGGAGAGAAGCGCAACACCGATCCCATGAACCCCTGGATCAGCAAGGGGGATCCCCTGGATCTCAAAACCCGTTGGGTTTCCTGTCCCACCCCAAATGTATTTCCTTGCTGCTGGGGAAGCAGTTTCCCTGCCAACCTCCAAGCTCTCATTTAATATGGAAAACCACGTCCTGGCGAATTTAACATCCGGAACGTTCAGGTCACACGCACACCCCCCACCAGGCCTTTCCCCACCCTCATGATACTTAGGTCATCCCAAGGCTGGGCAAAGCAGAGGAATCGTATCGCCATAGGGACCATTCCCGGGGAAACCACCTGGGATGTCTGCGCGAAGTCGCAGGAAGATGCCCGAGCACTGGCGAGACGCCCCGGCATCCGCAGCCCCACCGACGCCGTGCGGGGGCTGTACTCACCGCTCCAGTTTTTGGCAATCTTGAACATGTTGGCAGCCCTGGTGTACATCTCGCAGGCTTCCTCCACCCTGGTGTTACCCCTGGAAGGCAGCGAGAGAGACCCCCTGACACCGTGCCGGAACCAACCGCCACTCCCAAAACGCGGGCCCAGAGTGGAAACAGGGTTTGGGACGTGGCCCCTCTGGGATTGAGGGGGCTGAGCGTCCTCGTTGTAAGACACAGGGCGAGAGCATCGCGCCCCTCGGAGAGGGGAAAGCGGGACTTGGGGGGAACAGCAGCCCTCACCAGACCCTCTCCCATGGGGTGCCGGCTCGTTCCCAATTTGGTTAGTGCCCCACTGCGAAGAGGGAGCAGGTGGAGCAGGCAAGCCTGTGCTAGAATGGGGAAGCAGTTTTTCCCTGAACAAAGCAGGAAGAGGAAAGCAGAGGGAAACCTGAAATGGCAATGGCAGCATGCGCTGGCAGCCCAGAAGGCCAGCCGTATCCTGGGCTGTATCAGGAGAGGTGTGGCCAGCAGGTCGAGGGAGGGGATTCTCCCCCTCTGCTCTGCTCTGGGGAGACCCCACCTGGAGTGCTGCGTCCAGCTGTGGAGCCCTCAATATCAGAAGGATATCGACCACTTGGAGCGAGTCCAGAGGAGGCCACGAAGACGCTCCGAGGGCTGGAGCCCCTCTGCTATGATGAAAGGCTGCAGAGAGTTGGGCTTGTTCAGCCTGGAGAAGAGGAGGCTCCGGGGAGACCTTATAGCACCTTCCAGTGCCTGAAGGGGCTACAAGGAAGCTGGGAGGGACTTTTTCCAAGGGCCTGTAGTGACAGGACAAGGGGTAATGGGTTTAAATTCCAAGCAGGGAGGTTTAGATTAGACATCAGGAAGAATTTCTTCATGGAGAGGGTGGTGAGGCACTGGGACAGGTTGCCCAGAGAAGCTGTGGATGCCCCATCCCTGGAAGTGTCCAAGGCCAGGCTGGATGAGGCTTGGAGCAACCTGGTCTAGTGGAAGGTGTCCCTGCCCATGGCAGGGGGTTGGAACTGGATGGGCTTTAAGGGCCCTTCCAACCCAAACCAGTCTGTGATTCTATAATTTGGGCAGAGTGTGGAGCCTGGAGCGAGCCCCCATGTGTTCCTCGACGTGGGTGTCCCTTTTTAGGGCGGGAGCAGCCGGCTCCTAAGACACACTTGGCAAAAACGCCTGCCAGAAGCAAACTGGTACGGACAAACCGCTGCACAACACCCAGGTGATGGAGAATCGAGAGGCGCTAGAGCACGCGCTCTCCGTGACCTGACAAATACACCTCGCCAGACCAAACGCCCACCCACTGACAGGTTTGCACCTCCGCATCGTCCCGTAGGGAACGCAACAACTCAAGTCCAACTGACGGGGTTTAGTAGCGGAACTTGACTCCCTGAACCAGATTATTGATTGATCTGGAGAAGTTACATGGGTGTGTTAATTAAACACAGATTTCATCACGGACTTGCTCCTACCCGCTCGTTATACGCCATCCGCCCGACCCCGGAAAGGGCTGGAGCCCAGGAGGCGAAAACATTTATCATCGCCCTCGGCTTTTCCCGTTTTCCGGCAGCAAGCCGCAGTTCATCTCTAAGCACGGGCGGGGTTTTTGGACCGCTCTTGAAAGCCGCCTTTCCCGTGAACTACAGCCAAAGGAGGTAGTGCGAGGTAACACTACACCCCGCAAGGCTGCCAAAATGGGCCAGTTTTCAGCCTTTTAGTCTCAGATGTGGGGGAAAAAAAAAAAAAAGCCCTAGTGCAAGCTAATGGAGCTCTTCAGGAAAAAGCTTGGCCGCAGATAACGCTTTTGGCCGGGCGCTCGGCGCCGCGGGCACCCTCTTCCACCGAAGGGATGCCAGGAGCGAGGTCACCCACCACCTTTTCTTCCATTTCAACAGCAGTTTCTTCTCACGTCTATTTTTAAACCCAAGGAAAGGAGAAATTTGCCTCTCGAAACCTCCGCCGGTTCGCTCCCGAGGATTTTTTTTCTGCAATTTCCGTGGATTACAGCCCCTGCCCGATTAATCTGCCAGGAGGAATTTATTTTTAAAACTTCTGCTGTTATGCCTTTTTTTGCGGGCACTAGACGTTTCCAGGCTGTTGTTTACAACCAGCGAGGCCTCGGCAGCAGCATCGCTCCCCAAATGCTCTTTTCTTCAAAATTAAAAAAATCAATCCATAAAAGAAGCCAAGAATGAGGCGGCCAAAACTGCCCGTTTTTCAAAACCCATCAGGCGCAGCTCTTGCATCCAAAAAAAACCCTTATTTTCCAACCCAAAGACGCGGTAAAAATGAAGTTTTGCCATTTTGGGGACTTATCACTTCCCCCCCCGGCACCCCAATCCCTCCGGAGGGGCTCGGCTCGGCCCTGCGAGGGGCAGGTGGGCAGAAAACCCCCCGTAAACCCCCGAGGGCTGGTCCACGC